GCCATCTGCCGAGGCCAACTGGGGTTCAAGCAGAAAGAAGAAGACATAAAAAAGAAGCAGAGATACAAAAAGCAAGTGTAGGAAACACATAGCTAGGCAGACGAGCTCTGAGCCGACTCCTACGTCAGAGGATGAAGAGAGCACATCCAGCCAGTCACATTCAGAGAAACAGGACTACACTGGAAAACAGGCCGATCTCCAACATCTACAAACAAAGTTGTTGATGGCAGCAGCATAGATGATATTTCTCTCTAGGGTGGTGTCACAGCCAAACAGGAAATTACCAATTGAAGCTACTATGAGAAAAAGCAGAGAGAGCATAACCATAGAGATTGAACTAACATACTCTGCAGAGTGAAAGAATAGAGATAGAATGAAGCAAAATGATGAAATGGGGGTCCCTATGTCCTCCAGAAGTCTAAGCCTATAGCAGCATAACTAGGTAGCTCAGGATAACCTGTGCCACTCTAATTTTATCAAATTAGATTTATCAAAAAGGAAAGTTTTAAACCTACCCTTAAAAGTAGACAGAGTGTCTGCCTGGATTTTAGTACCAATTTTGCCTCACAAAAGTGCTGACAAACCTTTAACTATTTCACACTTACTCCAGGACATAACAAAATGATAGGTGAGATAAAATTGTAAAGTGAAAAATAAATAAAAGAATGCCAGGAGACCCATGAAATCCAACACCCTTTACTGTAATTACAGCTGCAAGTATTTTGAGATGTTTCCACAATATTGTGTATTTGAAACTGACAATCTAACATGAATTTGCTTTAATATAGAATTTTATCAGAATAATATTTGTAATTTTTCATACCTTCAGTTTTATTACTAAGAATTCAAAGGAAAAGCTCAATACATAAGGTTTAGATTTTTCTTCCAGTTTAATCCAAATATTTCACAAATTGAGGGCTTTCAGAGGACATCTGAGCCAAACTTGTTTTATCATGCTCTGCAATGCCTATCAAAACAGCAACCCCAAAGCAGAAAGCCAAACTGAGAGTGAAACTGTCAGTGGACTTTGGTTGACCTGTGAAATGGATTTAATGTCAAAGAACTGCTTTCACAACCCAACAATTCTGAATCCAAGGTGTGATAAAAACACACCATCTTTAAATGTCAAGTGATGAAAGGCCACTCATTTTGAATTGTTTTCTTGAAAAAACACCTAATAAATGTGGGAGAAGAACGCATTTTACGGAAAAGATGATGGTCAACATTTGCCGTCATTGCATTTCCAGTTGTTTGTGCCAAACCTCTTGGGACCAAGGACAATGAACTTGTTTTACACAAACTGCATGTAGAGACTGCAGGTTGTACAGAGGAAAAATCAGAAAAGAGATATTTCTATTAGTTATTAACCAGATTTTTATTCATGTCCATTTAAGTCCAACACTCTTAAGAAGTGCTATTGAAATTACAAGTATTCTAGATCTTCTGTCATTTCCTACTTATTACAAATTTTTGAAAATAATATTTATCTGAACATTTCTGGTAGATTTTACGAAGACATTGTTGAAGTGGTGTAAAAATAAAATATCTTTTATTTTTGGTAATGAAATACCTTTAATGTGGTATGTGTATAAATTGTTATCAACCTAATATATTTTGAAATTCCAAATAAGGTGTTCAGGACTTTATGTAGTCTGAATGTGCTTTATGCATGAGTTGTTTAATTTATTTGTTTCAATAACAGTGTTGTTCCCTTTAAATGGTACAAATCTGTTATTAAACCTATTCCTAAATAAGCTAATGATGATCTTCGAGTACCTCTCAATACAGAGGAAATTGTCTCCTCAGTACATTATATAACATTTCTTCCTGCTAGATGCCATGTCCTTCAGAGTATTTGGTGCTTTGAACAAGACAGAAAATGTATTGTATCCTATATATATACTTTATTACCAGATTAACTAAAAAGATACCCCCTTTTGTTTATTCTAGGTGATTTAAAATAAGGCATTGGAAGGGATTATAGAGATTTATATTATTTGAAGCTACTTCAACCAGGTTGATGGCAATAAAGTCTCTGTATGTGTCATAATCTTGGAGCTGATGAAGGGTTTAATTACTCACTCTATACACCAGTCTTACTCTGCCCGGTTTCTAATTACTGCTCATCTGACCCACCTACTCCTGCCTCTATTTAAGGAGCTAAAATCTTTTCATGTCATTCAATGCCAATCTGAAATCCAATGTTCCTCTCAGCTAATGTGGTTCTGAAAATTCGTATGCTCACATCTTTGGTGAGAAGTTTCCATTGTAAACCATAATAGTTAACAGTTTGCTCTTTATGTGTTGGCACTGACTCAAAATAGCCTTTTGTACCCTTTTTAGTTAGCGAAACGGTAAAAGTCTGCTACCCCCAGCCTTTTGTTCTCAGTTTCCAATAAAAGGAAGCTCATTTTTTCCATCACAATTTCCTTTGTTGTTTGATGTGGATACAGCAGGATGCTTTTCGTGTCGCTGCTTCAAAGAAACATTGCAATGTTAATCTTGAGAGGTGTAAAGCTTCAGGCTTGTTTTCTTCTTTATTGCACCACATGTCTTCCTTTAAAAACTACCCAGAATTCCTCTGCTTCAATCAGTCCAGGAGGCTACATTTGAAAGTCAAACACTGACACCGATTTTAAGCCAGTCCACACCCTGATAGCTGATTGACTGGAATTCAACTCTTCACTTTTAACACCGGGATGGTTAGATAACACAAAGGCCCACTGCATGTGTCTTCAAGCAGTCAGAATAATCCATCAGCCAAGAGGGAAATTCAGCTGCTCATAAAAGTATGCAGCTTCCCTTCAGTATTTATGTCAGAACTTGTGGTGCCCTGATGTTGAGCTCACATGTGCATGTGCTGAAGGTGCAGTGTTCAGAAGGGTTGGCAATGGGTATTTGCTCAGTTTTATATTAAAACATCTTAAGATCCAAAGTTTGCGGTTCAAAATGGCTTTCTGATATCTAAAAAGATGCTGATTTTTGAGGAATTTCAGGGCTAGTTTGAATTTCATGCTATAGCTTTGGGGGTTGATTTTTTGGTCCTTAATGTGCGCTTTCATCATTTCATAGTAGGTAAGAATAATCTTTAACAAACTTGTTTTTTTTTCTATTACTACATACACAGACTTTAATTAACTTTAAATATTGAAAAAATAGAATAGAATAGAATAGAAAATCCCTTTATTTTTCCAAAATTGGGAAATCGTGGTGTTACAGAAGTAAAAGGTTATAGTAGAAGTAGTCATACAATGTGTATAAAAAAAACATATAAGAAAATAAAGCAAATAGAATATTGTACTGAACAGTGTTTTTACAATATAGATACTCTGTATGTGGGGAATAAGAAAATCATTAACATTTCTGGACATTGCAGTGTCAAAATTATGTTTTGATATCGCAAATAAAGTATTCATGTTCAGATTATGGTTTCTACTGGCAGCTACTGTTCCATCAGCCTCCTGGGCTCACCCATGGTTGTAGGTAGAAAATTCAATATGTTAATAACAACAGATTTCCCAAAGATAACTTTATAAAGTATGTGCTGCAGATCAGGAAAAACAATCATCCATGCAGTTTCCAAACAAAATGAAGGTACAAATATTTGTGTAATTTATTCCACACCATGAAGGTATCTTCCTCCATGTAACCTCACCGGGGTGGGGGGATCCCCATGCAGGAGTGGGAGTAGTAAATAATAGATAATAGATGCTTTGGTTGACTTATTAATACCAACTAGCCATAGCAGAGATTCCAATAAGAGAGATTTATGCTGGCAGCCTGCAAAATCCATAATATGTCCTGAGATAAGCCTCATTTTGTTTACCTCATTTTAGAAAGTGTAAATGACTTTAATCATATGGAAAGTGCCATTAACATTAGAGAACAAACAGTATCATAAACTGTTTTGTCAACATTTGACATTTTGTCTACCACTCTTTGATCCATAATCTTGAATTCAAAACAGCATGAGAAGGATTTAGCACAACCGCAACCACAGCAAGATACATATGTAGATCCAGGTAAACTGACAGGCAAGCTGGGAACTAACCAAGAGCCAACTAACCAACTGGTAAAAAAAATGTGGCGTTGATGGAGGAATGACTCAAAGAAAGTCACTGTAATGAGAAGGTCATAAGAAGTCTCATCTCACATCAACAGGAGCACAGCATCTGCATAATGAAACATGGTGGTGGCAGCATAATGCTGTGGGAAAGACACAAGCGCAAATTTATTTAAGACATACCGGATCCCCTAATCTTGCATTATTTTAAATAAAGCCAGATTTGTGGCAAAATGTGGAGTTAGGGTGTTTGGATAATTTTGAAAGTCTCAGTATGCAAAGATACATCATAGACAAATGTAGATTTGTATAAACAGCAAAAAATCTAAAAGGGTAAAAAATTATTAAAATAAGTGTATTTACCTTTAATTTGAGTAGGTGAATGATCTACCAATGGAGTGAGTAGTTTTACTTTTAAAATAAGGTAATTAGATATTATGCACTTGTAATAAGACAACATAATTGTTTTTTTTTTCTTATTTTAATGTAAATTGTTTTATTCCATTGGAAAAGTGTCTAACTTATCTGCTTAACTCAAGACCAAATGCACTTACTTCAAGAAAAAAATTTTTTTACTTAGATTTCAATTTTTTGCAGTGTATGTTTATGCAATTTTTGTCTAAAATAATCCGCAGCATCAATTTACCATAATTACATAACAGAATTCCTCTTTGGAGGATGATGTTGGTTTATTGTAACATCCAACAAACCACATGTTTTGCAAAACTGAAAAAAAAAATGGATAATGTTATTAAAATCAATTCAAATTTAAACAAGGCTTCCATATTTATGAAGTTCTGATGCAATGAAGCATATTCCATTTAGTCTTTTATCAATCTGAAGCAGAGTTTAAAAGGTTAATTTGAAGGGAGCGCTCCAGCAGGATGGCTCTTGGCAAACTTGGAGGGAGGGGGAGACCTTCTGCAGCCGAGCTCATGGCAGGACGCACAGGGAAGCATTCCTCTCATAGTTTAGGAACATCTCTTCAGCGTTCACGTACATCAGATCTGTTTGATAAAAGGGATCAAGTCTGGAAGGGAGAGCTCACTGGCAGTTTTGCCAATTCTGATCTGTAGAGACGGTTTTGTGAAGATGTGGAAGTTCTTTGCTGCTGTGATCTTTTGCGTTACTCTGGTGAGGAGCCAATTTCTGTCTTTTTCCTGATTTTTGGTACCTATATATTTTTTAGAACAATTTACTCTCTCATGTCAGGTGTCAGCTTCATGCCCCACAGCCTGCCAGTGTCCTCCTGATGTCCCTGTATGTGCAGCAGGGGTGGCTCTCATGCTCGACAGCTGTGGATGTTGTAAGGTCTGTGCAAGGCAGCTCAACGAGGACTGCAGCAGAACTCGACCCTGTGACTCTGCGAAGGGACTAGAGTGCAATTTTGGGGGTGGATCTGATGCAGCCCAGGGCATCTGTCGAGGTATGATGTCTTCTGCTCTCCTCACTGTCTAGTTAAAATGTATTTTTCTCCTAAACATGCATGTTCTCTGATTTCTTTTCAACAGCTAAACTGGATGGGAGAAGCTGTGAGTTCAACAGCAGAATATATCAGAATGGAGAGACCTTCCAGACAAACTGCAAATATCGATGTACCTGCACGGATGGATACATCAGATGTGCCTCGCTTTGCAACCGTGACCTTTCAATGTATGAGGTGGGCTGTGCCAAATGGAAGAAAGTTAAAGCGAAAGGAAAGTGCTGTGAACGGCTCATCTGCCTCAAGGATGCAAACACAGGAAGGTCTCTGACAAGGAAGCACAGACAAAAGTATAATAATGATGCATCTGAAAAAGACTTTTCAAAAATCTATGAGCGTGGTTATGTTCGGAGAGGAGAATTAAGAGGTGATCACTGATATGCATTGTTCTTTCCTGTTGCATTGTTAAAGTACCCAAGTATGAGTCAGATTTAATTAAAAATGGTTATTTTCAGCTTCCAGGAATCATACAAAGAGGAGCAAGAGTGCAAAAGTATCCCAATGTAAGCTTCAGACCACAGCCTGGTCACCCTGCTCCAAATCCTGTGGTCCCGGAATCTCCTCCAGGATGACTAACAACAACACTGAGTGCAAACTAGTGACTGAAACTCAGACCTGTGAGATCCATTCCTGCAAAAAAACTCCCAACAAAGGTACTCCCCTAACATCGGCGATTTGGTTTAAGGTCGTATCCCCTCTACTATTTCCACAAGTTTCCAACTTTTTGTCTCACAGAGTGCTGAAAACTGTAACAACCAAGGAAAGGCCTTTCATGAGGTTCGGATGTCATTCGGTGGCTGTCATAGTCTGAAGTCATTCCAACTAAAACACTGTGGGTCCTGCTCAGACAGGCGATGCTGCCGTCCTCACAGGACCCAGACTCTATCTGTCAGTTTCAAATGCAAAACTGGAAGGAGGAAGGTGGTGATGACTGAGTCTTGCTGGTGTGATTTCGACTGCATTGAGGGGAGCAGTAACAGACACAGTCTCTATGGACGCTTTAATGGCATGCAGAAACTACAACTGTGAATAGGGATCCTAATTCAAGTGGAAAAATGATCAGAATTTGCTTTATGGCACTGGAGCCTTGTAATTTGCTTCTTTCATGTTATGAAAGTCTTTTTCTCACAACTCTATTTTTGCCTATTTGTTGTTCTAGCTGCTTCTTGTTATTTTTTTTAAACCTGCCTAAAAATGTAGACTTATAATTTTATTGTGCCACTATAAATAAACATAACATAACTGTTAACAATATGTTTTTTTACCCACTTAGTTTGGTTGCTTTTAAGCATAAAGAAAAGGGGGGGGGGAGTGTTCTGCTCAGAGGCCTTTCCTCAAACAAGCTGACAGTGATATCATCCAAGGTATCATTGTTAATAACTAACAGGCTGTACAGGTGCATCATTGTTCTATTTAATACAGTCATGTAAATTTGACTTTCTCACATCATGTGCCAACAGTGTAACTTATCAGCGTGTTACAGATGCCCTCACATGATGTTGTAAACACTGTTAGTCCTACATGGTGCACATATTTCCTTCAAAAGTACCGTGTTTGTTTGTAGCCTGCAAAAAGACAGGAAAGTTAGCTTAATCTCACAGGTAATAAGCTGTTGCTACAATTAATCGAACTTAAAAATCAAGCAGCCAAACAAGAAAAACTAGAAGTGAAGCTGGAACTTGTGGCTCACAGGGTCACTGGTTGGTATCGATCAGAGTCACCTTTTTGGTTCCAGTCCTGCAAAAATTCATCATTGGTTCACATTGACCGAATGTCATACAGTTCAGTTGCTTGAGGTCTATTGGCTTCACATACATGAAGTACACAAATGCTGTGATCTGCCACATTTCAAAGGTGTGAGAGATCTTACAGCTTGAAGCCTCAAAACAATTCGACCATCTGAATGTTGCAGCTGGAAGCAGGACTGCAGGGACCAAGCAACATGTTGGTAACTCATTCTGCTGATCTGCTGTTCAGTCATTTCAGGTTGCGTCAACAAGCCACAACACAATCACACTCAATGAAGTGGCCTATGAATGTATTCCTCGTACAGCTCAGTTAAAATTATTTATAGCAGTTAATTTTATTTTAATTTATCAGTTTATTTGGCAGAGAATGTACATTAATTAATATTTCTATAAAAGTATAAGAATTAGCCTTAGCAGCTATCTTTCCATCCAGATGTTAACAGTCATTCTAAACACAAGTTTTAAGTTAAAATCCACACAATATGAATTTCCCTTTTGGGGAAATTCAGAATAAAGTAGTTTTGTATTGGATTGAATATAACACTCAATTGCATTATGTTATAATAAAAAAATTAATCAAACATGCAGGAATTCATTGAGTTAGTGCTGATAGGATGGGTGATCAACGAGCTACTTCCTCACATGAACCTTAAACGTGTTAAAAGTGGCCACTTCCCTGAAGACCACTGGTATTGTGTTAAGTTAAATCCTTGCCAAGGTTAGGAAGAATGCAAATCCCGGTTTTTAAATAAAAGTTTACATTAGGAAATAAGCTACATCAGAAAAATCAGAGTAATCTGCATCTATAAAGACATAGATGTTCCTGAACCTGCAATGTAAACCTGATTATTTTTCCTGCTGTGGCTCACATGGTGGTAACAATTATGAACCCTAAACATCTATAAGGTTAAATGTTCAAGAAATGCATATCATTGTCAGTGGAAGACAACACTAAATCGCCTCCCAACATTTTTTCCGTTTCCTAAATACAGCACTGCCAAAAACAACTAACAATCCCACATTAAATTATTGTTCATATTTATGTGCCACAAACAAGAGGTACAACATGTACAAAATAGGATAAGATTAACTTGAACAGTAATTAATGATCCAATCAGATTCTTACGGGCTCTTCTTATTTTAAAATGTATCTGTAAAAAATATTTAGACTTTTAAAGAGATCTACAGGACAACTAATCACCATTTAAAAAGGTATGGCATCACAACCAACAGTAACAGTACAAAATAAAAACCCAGTAATTCACTTTTTTTTGTTTTTTTACAAAAAAAAAAAAAAGACAAAAAATTCTTCACTTACCAGCAATTGGATTTTATATTTGGGGGAAATATCCCAAAGTCAAAACTTATTCAGTAGTTGTATTTGCAAAAAGACAGCATGATCTTGACAACTGAACATTTAATTTACAGCTTGATTGATCTCATACCAGCTGAGATTTAAATGACGGAAACATAAAATATGCATCGCATCATCAACACGAATAACTACAAAAAAACAAACAAAAAACAAAAATACACTATTGGTTCCACACTCATAGAATATCTTTAAAACATTTTTTTTGTCCAAACATCAGAGGAGCAGATTTATAGGGTTAAAAACAAAAAAGTAAATTCCTAACATCACCATGTAAACGCTTAATGCGTCACTGTTGATGTTTTAATACGTTTCAGACATAATAACAGTGCTTAATGAACTGTAAACTTCTTTGCAAAATTGTAAACTTAAAAACAAAACTGCAGAACTGATTACATTTGACATGACTACGGTAATACATTATGAATGATAAAAGTAGGAAAATCTTTACTGCACGTATGAGCCTTTTTCTTTTATTTGTAAGAAAGCTAGGATATTTCATAATCTTTTAAAAAGGCAGAGCTTCACCTAGAAGATTTATTTCATATAATCCCACCTGGTTCTACCCTTATAATAAAACAATACCCATGGTCTGTGTCGATTTTCAAAGGTTTTTAGCTTTAAAATTAATAAGAAAATGGAATCTGCCCTCAGGGAGGAAAACATAAAAAATCATAAAGCAGAGTCCACAGAGAGCAAAGACTACCTAGTAATGATTGCATGGAGGCAGGGGATCTCTGACAAGATGAAAGGTAAACTCAGGAACCTGCTTCCAGGTAAAAGTATTAATGTTCACTGAAGTTTCTAGGATCTCATGAGCTAAGACTCAAATATAGAAATGTAAAGAATAATGTGGTATTCAAATATCCCACATGGGGAAAGCAGAAAGTATTCAAGCTTTACAGATGATCGACATTTTAGCTGGAGCACCATCATGTGTAGAGTATAGACAGCAAAAATCATCAATCAACTCTTGGGTTGTAAAGAAAATTCACCAAATACCACCTTTATAGGTCTTAAATTTAATATTTTCCAAATAAACTCAAATGTTTTTTTTTTTTATCTAAACATGTGCCCTTAAAAAAGAAGAGGGAAATCAGCAATATTATCAGAGCTCACAGATGAGGATAATTGTTTCTGCTGCAGCTGGTTTACGGTCACATCTACAAAAGTAGCACCAAGAGTTTGGACCTGAGATGACATTTTTCTTGCTTGAGTCATATTTAAAATAAATAATTACTTAGAAAACTTTACTAATTCAAGCTTTCATCATCTAAAAAAATAAGATGATCCCAAAGCTGATGTTTGCAGCCCGTCATCAAACATTGTCTTGTAAGAATTTTTGAGGAAATCTACGTAGTTCTGAATGCTTCTGTTGTTGCTCTCTGATTGATCCAGACTGAGCTGCAGGTCCTTCAGTCGTACCTCAAACTGCTTTTCTGCCTGCAGGTCGATGACAGACAAGCAGCAGTTCACTCTCACATCTTATCATTTGCAAAAAAAAGGATGTTTTAGTAAAGTGATGCTCACCGTTTGCTTGCTTTGACGGAGAAGCCTCAGTTCATTATCCATTCTGCTCTTCTCAGCTTGCAGCTCCAGGATTTTAGTCTGAAGAGTCTCTTCTCTGGAGGAGGCTTGACTTTTTACTTTGTTCACCTGAAAAACAAAATCCAATGTGTTCTAGTTTTTCTATGTTAGACAAATAAAGCATTTATATGGCATGGATTGTTGATTTTTTTTATTTATTCTATGATGTAAAATGTTTCCAAAGTGTGCTGCTGTTGGCCAGCTTAGGGTTACCTGCTCTCTGACATCTGACAAAGCTGCTTCCAGCTGCCGGTTTAAAGCCTGACACTCTGAGGAGCGCTGATCCAGCTGCCGGTTGCTGTAGTTAAGAGCCTCTTCCTGAGCTGCCAGCTTCCGGACCAACTCCAGGTTCTCCTGCTGCAGCAGGTCCATTTTTCTAAAAACAGAAATGATTGATATCCCATAACACTAACTAAACTAACAAAGTGAAGGTTTCCCACAACTTTTAGATGCGTTTCTGCTTCGACACACCTGAAACAAATAACTGGATCATCAGCAGAGTTCGGTAGAGCCTGACTCTATGCTGAGGAGGTAGCTCAGCTTTTTGATTTAATGATACTCTATTCTAATCTGAGCAGAACAGCAGAGGGTGGTTTTCTGTGAGCCTTACCTTTGGAGCGAATTGACTTTTTCTTGCACTTTCAGATTGGCTTCACGAACCGACTCTCTCATCTCTACAGATGAACTCAACTGTTTAGCTTGACTCTCCATCTGCACATCAGAATAATAATTTCTTAGATGCAGAGGAATCCATTGAAAATTAATTATTTATTATGATGCTAAACACAATGTAAGTGTGTAACAACTCACAGCACAAAAATACAGACAAACATATACAGAGGTGGGAATCAGTATATATGCTTCAACAAAACACATTTCTTCACTGCAACCACAGTAACCCACAAGATCTGGAGGTAAAACACACCAGGAGACATAGAGGGCGTACTGCCACCTAGTGGTCTAATGTGGGGAAATGGGTTTTACATGCATGTGCTGATGAGAACAGTTAGCATTGCACACCTTCAACTGCAGATGCTTAACCGACTCTGACTTTTCTGAGCACTTTCTCTCCAAGCTCTGCAGGTTCTCCTGACAATGAAAGAGACTCTGCTCAGCTTCACTCAGTAACTGAGGGTAAACCTTCAGCTCCTCTACATGCCCCTGCAGCTCCTGCCTCACCTGGGCTCCAGAACGGGTGCAGCGCAAGAAATAAAGAAGGCACAGAATAAAAAAGCCTTTAAGCTTCAAAGCTCTCAGTTATTGCGACTCAGACTGAACAGGGTTATGCCAAGTTAAGTTGTCAAAATGCATAATTAAAGTTTTTTTTTTTTTTTTTTTTTTACATCTTGTTGACGGGTAATTTATCAGCCACAAGGAAAGAGGTGTGGAGATGAAGATATTAGGGGAATAAAAGATGGAGATGCATTTACCATCTGAACTTCGGTTCCTTTTCCCCCTCTTCTCTTTTCAGTTTCCCTCAAAAGATCAGAATGTTTCATTCGAATGGTTTCAATCTCAGCTCTAAGTTCTGCTACCTATAAAAAGAGAAACTGGTTAGTCTTTAACATGATAGCTTCATTCCTTTTTTTATCTGCTTGTATGACATTGTGGTTATTTAAGTAAAAAAAAACAACATTAATTTAGTTGGATTTTATTAGCAGTTTTAATTTCACACACAAAACAACACCAGCTGAAAGCTGTGTGCTGATTAGGCTGTGATTTCCCCATTTTTAGAAAAAAAAAATTCAAGGATATAAATTGGATCCTTTAATTAGCTGTAATCAATAATAACATTTCCTACAGTGCAAAGGAGTAGTGGATGTTCTCTAAGCCCCGATACTGTTTGGAAAAACCACGTTAGTGCCTCTAGTATGCAGACTCTTGCAGCGCTCTGTTCTTCCAGAACTCAAGCCAAGATTGTTAGAGTCCTCCGCAGAAACAGAATCCCCATTTAAACATAATAATGATCACATTAAAAAAAATGAAACTTCCCATTGCTTAAAGGTCCAATATTATACTATATTTGAAATAAAAAAATATTAAAAATGAGACCCTTAGAGGCTGTTTTTGTCATTTGTGCAGGAAAATGATTCTCAGATTAGGCGGACAGCATGTACCAAAAAAATCTCCTTATTCAGCCTTCCTCTGGATGAGCTGATTTGGCTTTTTACCCTCTGCCCTCCCAAAGGCAACGCCCCCACAACCTGTAGTCATGACAACCAGACACAAATAGCTGTTACAAAATGTTTATAATGTGAAATTTGCATAATATGGGACCTTTGATTTATGTATTTTTTCTAAATAAACACATGGGTGGCAGTGAACCTGGTAAAAGATGCCATTTTGCATCACCATCTTTGATTATGGTAGCTGAAACGGGACATACCGGTACGTGTTAGCACTGCAAGTTATATCTGTATATGAAGATGTGTTGTCGGTGAAGGAAGCAAATATGACTAGAGATCATTCTACTTGCTGTTTTCAGTTGAAATGGAGGATCTTCCATACTTTTTTTTTTTCCAGTGAGAAAGTAACAAAGCAAAGGAAAAAATTGATTACTAAAAGAGAGGAGTCTGTCGACGTGGCTTTAAACAGGTGTTACAACACAATCTGTGATCCATCATTTACTGGTGCATGCTGTTGCAGATACTCTAAAAAGAAAAACAGAATCATAACCTAAGGTCACAAAACTAATACCTAAACCTACAGAAGTCTGTGGTGAAACACATAGTGCCCCCATGGGTCACCAAATACTGTATGTTGCAAGAGAGATAACTCAGAGGGAGTGGAGCTTCAGAGAACAGACAGAGTGTTGCAGGTTTGTTAATTCAGTGCAGAGACAGCTAGTTTATTTGTTAGCCTACAGTGAACGAGCTCTGTTTCTACATCCATCACCTGCTGTTATTCTTCACAGACATCATACCAGCAGGTGACCAAAGCAACTGGCATTAGCTTGGTATCAAAACCTCAGAGGACAGAGTGGTAATTAATTTAGATAGATAAAAAATAAAAAACAAGCAAAAAAACTGAATATTGTAACGCTCTGTACCTTATTGCTTAACAGAATAGTTCAACTTGTGCAGGATGATGACATTGTCACCTTTATGGTAAACTCTACACTTCTGTAGTAGTTAGTACACATAACAACAACCCACCAGAGTTGTTTGTAATTCATTTAGCGTACCACTAGATGAGAGTAAACCTTACACACTGATGCTTTAAAAAAAATTCAAAGACAGTGTGAAAAGCAAATAGTGGTAGATTGATAAAGTTCAATGCGCTGCAGGGATCAGGTTATTGAACATTAATACACTAACTAATAAACCGAAAGACTTATTATTACTTATATTTTTGGTGTGATACTGTATAGTGATAACCTTGCACCTTTTATCCTGTTTTATGATTGAAGATACTTGAATCAGTTTTAAACCTCATCATCAGGTCTCGTCAGAACTGGAGTTATACTAAAGAATACAGACCTCATACTGGCATTGTTCTGCTTCACGTTTCCTCTCTAGAGAAGTAGTTTTCTCCTCAATGAGCGCCGACTCACAATCAGCAAGCTGCTCCTCCAACCGAGCTACAGACGCCTGCAATCATGCATAAATAAATATCATTTCGGGAGCAGAACTAATGCATGGGCTTAAAAATGCTATAAAATCACATTGAGAAATAAAATGTAATTTATTGTAATTCAAAACAAGAGGAGAAAATTGTGCACATTGGTTACACTCATTGATAAATATGATTGACTTACAGCTTTTAAAGTCCCAATTTCCCAATTTAATATAAAACTGATTATTACAAAAAGAAAGGATTAAAAGAAATTTACAAAAAAAATTTTTTATTTCATGATCCCAAAAGAAGTCTACATAATTATGGGAAATATAATGGACTTTAATGCAGACAGTTGTGCAGAAATTACTTATTGACAACCATATATTAGGGATGTCCCAATCTGATATTAGATTACAAAAAACTAACATCTGATTTTATTTAGCGATATTCCTTAAACAATCCTTTTCTAACATGCTACAGTATAAAATAAGTAATAAAAGCTGGTATGATTCATGCTAATATTATATTATATGCTAATATTATGTCGTATCGGGTCAATATCAGTATCTGCCAATTCTCGAAGCTGCAATATCGCTTCCGTAACGGAAATTAAAAAGATGTATCGGGACACTGCTACATAAAATATGGAGAGTTGAGAAAAAGGCTCATTTAAAAAATTTAGGAGGATTAAGATGGTGTGGGCTTTAGGTGGAGTCAGTGCATAAGAAGTTACCCAAACCAGTTGTATCCAGGAAATGGGCTACGACTGTTATACCCATTGTGTTAGGTCTCCTGAACCAGAGAAAACATCAGAAAATGCTTGAAAAAGACTAAAAAGATCGGGGCTGCAGATTCGTCCAGTGAGGCAAAAAACACTTTTAAGATGAAAGTGATTTTAGTGTTTCTATCAACAAAATCAAACCCACACAGGGTCAACTGTATCTTGTAAAGATGAAGGTCAGAGATAGTAGATCAGATGATGCAGACTGGATGAGGCCTGGTATTAAAACAACCTGGACTCCTTTAACATCTCAGCAGACCCACAGCCTGCTCCTCCATGTCACGCAGCGCTGTTGCTATAATGAATGCAAAATGAGCTACTACTGAGTGCCAAAGCTGTAAACACATTTTCTATAGTAAAAACTAACACCAGGGATCTGTCAGCTGCAGCTCCCTGGTGCAGCTATGTTTGTGTATGGTGAGTCCTTAAACACTGTCAGCACCTGCTGAACTCCTCTCCATCCTCATCTGGCTGTGGTTAACCCTGTGCACCTTTTTCTGTCTCGTCTTTTTAAATGTCATTCTAATCCGTTGTGTTGCATTCATATGTAATAAACCATAAATTAATAGAAAATTTCCTTTAGACTTAAAAAAAAAGTAAAAAAGTGACTCTTTCTACCTTGAGTGTTGCATTGCTGACGGTAAGGTCTCCATTTTCCGCAATCAGTTTTTCAAGCCTTTCTGCCATTCTTTCATTAGCTGCACTTAGCTCGTGCTTCTGTTTCTGCAACCTCAGCTTCAAATCTGCAAATTGACTTCATTGGAGAACAAAAAAAAATAGAATAATTTATCAGTATACTGTAGTATAGCTGTCTTATGTGCATGTAAAAGCCTACAGGCATGAAATATTGAGTGCAGCACAAACCTTTTCACAAGGTTAACGTGAGCAACAAGTTTTTCTTTCTCATCAGTCATCTGCTCCTTCTGCTGTCTCCTGGAATCTTTTTCTGAGCGGGCTTTAGCTAGTTCAGCATCCTGAGAGTGAAAACATCATCCATAAGTTTTTTCACTTGGACTAAGGCTCCTAATACTGTAGTTCCCAACCCTGTTCATCAGGGATCTCTTTCCTGCATGTTTTAGGTGTCTCCTTGTTGCATAACACCAGAAAAGAATGGATGATTAAAAGGATGCTGCAAAACTTGATTGCAAAGGAGGAGTCCTCATTTGAATCAGGTATGCTGGAACAGAGACATATTTAAAACATGCAGGGCAGGGGTCCCTGAGGACCAGGGTTGGGAACCACTGTAATTTGTTTTCATGTCACACCTTTTCCTTAAGCTGGGCGTAGCATTTCTCTATAGCAATTTCAAATCTCTCTGCTCTCAGTTTTTGGGCTCGAGTTGCTTTCTTCAGACATTCTTTATCCTGTGCTGCCTTTTTAGTCAGGGAGGCAAAGGATGCCTTCAGCTGCTCGATCTCCAGCTTCTGCTCTGTTACTGTCCTCTCCAGGGACTATAAACACAGAGGAACAAAAATGTTTCGTAATATCTTAAAACCCTTTTTTTTTCTCTACAGCCTCATGTTAATACAGCAAAAGATGTTTACCCGTAACTGGACAGTCAGGCGATTGTTCTCCGCTTCCTTGTTGCGCAGTTGTCCCTGCAGGCGAGCGCGGGTCGTTTCAGCAGACTTGGTAATGTGAACCACACTTTTAACGTTCGCCTGATAAAAAAAACCCCAATTGAATTATCCAATAATATTGAATTATCCAATACGTATTAAACTAGACAAGGGCCTGGATGAGGATTTTG